ACTCTCAGGTCCTGTCTAATTTTTCCTCATGTGAATTTTATAATTTTTTTTGTGTGACTATGTGTAGCCTGCCATTTTAGAAACGTCTGTCTTGTAAATAGAGTTTCCCAAGAGATATCCAGGTTAAGTAAAGGTTTAATAAACAACACATAACAATTTCTGTGTTATTTTGGCATTTTGTGTATTTGTTATTAATATGTATTATTAGACCCGTTTTATTAGGAGCGTTTTATTGGAACTAAACAATATCTCACCTGATTTGAATTTCACATTATCCTGCACAGCCAGGGTTCTTTTCTTTCCTAATTAGCTGAATGTCCGGGTGTCTCCTGTGGAGATATCAGAACGAATGTCACGGGGCATTCTTATTTTGGCTGAAATACGTGTTTGTTCTTGTATAAGAATCTCCCCGGGCTGTGTTACCTTTAGAGGTCATGCATTGGCCCTTCGGCAGCCGTGAGGATCAGGGGGTCTGGTAGCCGTGACGATACACTTTCATTTCAGCCAGCTAGTAATCCCACAATGCAATAAAACTGTCTGGCCCCTGCGTCTGGCTCCAGTCAGACCAACTTTACTCACAAAAATGTCCACCCCCCCCTTCAGTATTATTAAGTGGAATGTAAATCTCAAAATAGAAGTTTAGAGCTTTTTTTTTTCTTTCCAAAATTTGAGATGTCATTAAACAGCTATTTGCCAGGAGCGAGTCAGTAATTATATAGGAGGAGGGAGACTTATGTGTTATAATAAGGGAGTGCATCTCAACCAAACCAAGACACCAGCGGGGACAGAGGTCACTGCAGTCTGGTTAGGCTGTGTTTACCCTGGCGAGGGAGTTGCAGCTGTGTGCAGAAAGTGTGTCTCTGGGTTTAGACATTATCTCACAGTTGGTTTTGGTCAACTTTTCAAAACAAACTGCACTGTCCTCTACTTGTCATGCTTGCTATTTTGTAAACATAAGTAACAACTGGAATGGATATTATGACTAAAATAGTTTTAGTCAGAGGAAGTTATCACTCATTGAGCTTTTGAGGGAAAAATAATCTTTGTTTTTCTCATTTTGGAGAAGCCACTGTATGCATGAATATAATTTGTGGTCTTTAGACTGCAGTAACTGATTTTATTTGGTCACTTGGGGTCAGCAGAAACAAGTTATGAACACAGCGTCGCCTATTATCACCTTATAAGTGAAACAGCTGCTTATTTACACGTCCAGCAGTTATGGCGCAACGTCAACATTCATGTGCTGTGTTTCTGTCCACCTGGCCAATGTAAGTCCAATATTAACTCTCTTGTAGCAAATGTTTTTGGTCTCTACCAACTGCTGAGGGAGATATCTAGCTGTTTGGCTACTAAATGTTTGTTGACTGTGTCTGTTGGAGTTTTGGAGCTGCAGATTCAGGTGACAATTCTCACCTTGTTCTCAAAGTGTCATTTGATACATTGCTATGATAAAAATATTGATTATCTGTTTTAAAGCACAAGGCCTGTGATATTCTATATGATCCATATTGAAAACACCAAAATTTTAACAACAATGAATTGATTCTAGTATTGACTGTGTAGCTACAGCCTGATATATCGTATTCCTCTGTGTCATTGAGCTCTGTTGTCAAAAAATATTAAAAACACATTAGTTAGACACTTTTGCAATAGGTGACATGTCCCTTCAGTATCATTATCATGGCCGCTGTAGTTTATTTTGAGGCACTCACTGGAGCACTAAACGTGTATATTACTCCTAAAAAAGGTCACATAGAGTAACATTTACTGCAACTATCCTACTAGCTCTGTGATGCTATACTTAGGCAGAGTGAAATTTAGAGCAACATGCTAACATATGACAATCCTGATGTTTGTCATTTTCCCCATTTTAGTTGAACACTAAACATAAAGTACAACTGAGACTGATGGGACATTTTGCCGCTTAGTTTTTATAAACCAAAGTATTAGACACATTCAGATTTTTACCTGATTGTTATTATGATTATTATTGTTGTTATTACAATTCATCCTGAGGAGCAGTATCAAACTGCATAGCAACATGTCCAGTAGTTGTTAAGGCATTTCACTCAAAACCCTAAATGTGGCCCTTGTGTTGGCACTAGAGGAAACATCAGGGAATCACCAAAGTCCTGAGGATTCATCTGGGGACCATCTATCCAATAGTTATTGAGATCTTTCAGTCTGGATCAAAGTGGTGGACCAACCGACCACCCTCCTGAAAGCAGCCAGCATGGCGAAAGAAATCCTTGTTCCTTGTTTTGAATAGTATAACTTTCCATCCCTAAAAATAAAACTCAACTTGAGTTCCTCACAGAATCTGTGCAGCAGTGACAGACTCAATGCTGCCACACAATACAGAAAATGTGAAACCTATTGATGACTTCAGTTTCCTTAAAACAGATCCATTTCATACACTGCAGCCTGAGTCACTGTAACCCGACCCTCAAATATTAACCTTACTTCCTGTATCACATATTCAGTCTTCATAGCTGAAAATGACCCTCTCCTCCTGACATGAACCAAATCTAATTATAAGCAAGAACAGAAGGTTTTGTAAGGTAAACTGAAGGTGTAATGTATTAGATCATGTCAAATGTTGAGGAGAACGATTCCATGTAAGGTTTCAGGGACTGTGGTAAAAAATACTACATTTCTTATGCTTCCATTCAAGACAGGATTCAGGTGAGTCCATCTAATGTTTCTGTACTTCACCTACAGCTCAAGTTTTTACAACTTTTTTTGAAATTTCCACTTTGCCTTTTTATCCTTGAAACTGAGTTGAAAAAGCGAAAAAGAGCTAAATAAATAACTTTTAAAGCACCCATATTTTTTTTATTTAAATGTGTAGGATTTAATTGCATCTAGCAGTGAAGTTGCAGATTTAAAACAACTGGACACTGCTCATGTCTGTATTTGACGATGAAGTGTGTACAGTAAGAACTCCATGGAAGGCGACCTACGGCGTCTGTGAAAAGGTAATAAAAACACAACAATTCTTATTTTCAGGTGAATCGACTACCCCTTCTTTACATTTGAGTTTTGACAGCAAAAACTGCAAAAAAACCAAACAAAACAAAAATGTGTTACAACATAAATAGACGTATTGATCGGAGGATTCACTTAAATGGGACTTTGTGCTTCACAATAAACATATAGTGGAATACCTACTGCTCATCATTAACTTTTACCCATTAAAGAAATCAATTAGCTTCTGATGAGTGAGTCCAGATAGTTGGCATTTATGGCCTCAGGCTTCTTAGGCTTTTAAATTGTGGTTAAGAGGATGTTGGACTGATCCTTGACAAATGCCTCTCACACCCACCGGGCGTCACCAGCAGCATAATCACTTAACATTAGGCAGCAGCAAATGCTGAGTCAGAGTAGGTAAAATGAAGGTCAGGTTGTGTGTTACTGGCAGAGGCAGAGAGAGCGGTCACACTGGGACACTGAAGACACCTCCAGGCTGAAAGTCTCATTTGAAACTATTGATAACGGCTGGCAGATATACGATTTCTCCTGTTAGAGGCTTAAAGTGTGGGAATGTCCCTTTAGATTCTGTTGTCATTGTGTTGGAACTTGTGTTAACATGGGCAGCCCTACAGTACAGTTTGCTGCAGGAATGCACTGGTTGAGCGGTCATTGCGTACACAAGAGGCGCCACAGGGATTTCTAAGGGCCTCCCTCTATGTGTGTTCATGACTGCTCACACTGGTTAATACTCACCTCAGGAGCCAATTTTATTATCATAAACAAGTGCTTTTTAAATATACATACTGCGTGCTTGGTTGATTTAATTTAATCTGATCAATGACACTAACAGTCTGATCAATGACACTAACAATACGAAGGTAAGAATCAAGGTGACACTGCCCTTCAGAATATAGATGCATGTGTTCATTTCTTGGCAGCTGTGGAAGAAATACTCAGATCCTTTACTTAAACCTGCAAGGAGCTTTTAACACAAGACTATCATTGAAAAGATTGTCTGTTTCTATATAATTATTCGTATTATTATTATTATTATTATTATTATTATTCGTGTCTGCCAAGGTGTCAGATTCTTTCAGATTCCCCTTGAAATCAGTGACTGTAGAAACTCCTGCCTTTGTCCACAGGGGCCACCACAATCAACACAATTAAAGTTCCTTGTTGCTGCTTTAAGTAAAAGTACCAATACAGCAGTGTAGAAATACTGTCTTACAAAGTATTAGAAGCAAAAATGTATTAACTACCGAAGTGACAGTACTCATTATGCAGAATCACCCATTTCAGAATAAGGTATATCATAAAATTGAATTATAATTATGGATGCATTAATGTGTAAGAATCACTTTAATGTTGCAGCTGGTAAAGGTGGGGCCAATTTTAACTACTTTATGTCACAGGCAGGATGGAGAATACAGGGGGAACAGTGCTGCTGCTCAAAACTCTTATCAGTTACCAGTTGGGCCCGTAGATGGCAGCCATGAGTTTGGTTAAGCTGGAATCCAAAACAGTCCTGTTGCACAAACTTTGCATCAGGCACTTTTTGTCTTTTACATTTATAACCTGAACCGGTACAGATCGATGTGAAATGGACTCTATAAACTATAAAACAAGATCCAAAAGTCAGAATAGAGACTCCCCATCAACTAATGGAGAGGGAAAACATAGTCATCTCAATCACAGCAGTCTGAATGTGTGGGAGTGTCGCCTCTCTCCTGTACAGCCATAATACAGAAAGATGAATGACAGTAGCAGAGCTAAGAAGGAACATTTAGGCATGATTCAGGTCTATAAAACTGTATTGATTTGCTGCTTGCCTTCCTGCACAGTCCCTGCCTGGCCGGTGCCAGAGTAATTTGTCCCCCAGGTCTAAGGTTGCATGTGAATTTTCTGTTGTGTCAGCTGAGTTTAGTGCAGTGCATGCTTGAGAGGAGGTGAACTCTCATTATCCCACACTGCTTTAATTAAGAGCTTGCTGTCAACGAAAGCAACATCTTTAACTCATTTATTACCTCCTGCAGTAGGCATCTCCAAACGGCAATACGCAATATTTCATCTTCCACAGTAACTTTGTCACGAAAACATCTGCAACAGACAATTCAGAGCAGAATATGAGGGTTTTATATAATGTAAGACAGCATGAAGGCAGAAGTGCTTCACTGTGACAGTCAGATGGCTGTGTGTATCCCTGTATGGCCCACAGTGTATGTATAGGATATATTGTGTTTCTACACCTCCCAATTAATGTCCAGTGCCAACACAGGAAGTTTGTCCTTTCTGTAGCAAGGAAGAAAGTTAGGATGTGGTTGGGCGTGTAGCACAAGAGGAGACAGTGTCCCATCACAGGCCTGCAATTAACATTTGCCTTTTTATTAATCATAACCACAAACTTTGTGTGAAAAGTGTTTTAGTTGCCTAAACCTGACCATACCATAACAATTATTTCTTTTTCATGACCATAATCAACCACAATCTTTTCATGAACTTAACCATAGTCACAGTCTCATAGTTGGATGAAAATTGAATGGATTTGAACATAATCTGAGGTTTTTTCACATTAAGATTAAAATAAATATCCAGTGGACCTGGGTGATTCTTGAAGATGTACAAATAAAAACAAAAACAAATGGGTGACACTGAAATTAAGGTTCTTTTCATTCTTTGTAGCACATTGTACAGATTGCCTTGAAGCACATTACATAGATTTGCACTGTCAATTTATATAGATAAACATAAAGCAGGGAATTATTGCACAAACTGTTGGGGCTTAATGCATTTCTTTGAGATTTAGCATTTGCATTTTTACGTGTATTAATGAGGTGGAGTGTTTTGTACATTACATTTATCTATCTTTTAGACACTTTGATCCAAAGGGTCTTACAATAAGTGCATTCAACCATAAGATGCAATGCAAAATTTGCAAGAATCATGCAAGTACAGTTGAAGAAAGCTTTCCTTTAATGGACCAAGGTGTAATCTAAACTGATGAGTTTTCAGTGTGTGATGGAAGATGTGTACAGTGTCTGTTGCCCTGATGTCATTGAGCTTGTTCCAGCATTGTGAAGCCAAGACAAAACAGTTGTGATTTTGTTGAGTGGTAGCTGGGCCTCCCTCATAGTGAGGGAGCAGCGAGCCGATTGGCAGTAGCAGAGCATAGTGGACAGTATCTGCTGTCCATTTCACTTACACTCTCACTTGCTGCTCTGGCTGGACGTAGGATGGGCCTGAGCCACTCGCAGGCACGATGCAAGAACCAGTGTTAACCAGTGTTAACCAATGTCTTAAATCATCAAGCAGCCACCAGTAAGCAGTGCAGGGTGCAGACGAGCAGTGTAGTGTGAGAGAATTTGGGTAGGTTGAAGGCCAACCGGGCTGCTGCAGTATCCTCCTGATGTTTTGTAGACACTGTAGCTGCCTCCCAGCTGGAACTAAGTGAAGGCCTGCCCTGTGAAGGAAAACACACACTTTGACCATTTTGGTTATTTCAACATGGAATGAAGTCTTTATTGTTATTAACTCATGTCAAAATGATTGAATTGAATGACTTAATGTTTACATGTTTTACGCAGTAATTAAGACGATGTCTTTGTTCAAATCACTTAACTGTGCTGTCATGTCTCCAGAGTGCTCAGACTAAAAGAGTCCCCAAGGTATCCGAACAACAATTTAAAGGATCCAGGAGATACCAAGTAGTAGTTAGTGCAGGGGTGTTGAGTGTTTCATGTGAAGTTCATATTTCCCATTTGCAGTGTGTTGTAGAAAGCAGTGCCAGTAGTTCACATTCTAAATTATGAATTTAGATTTCTATGTATTTGCTGTAGTTTTTGATGTAAGATTGGGGTCACACCAGATGCATGATATAGAAGGCAGCCAGTTTAAAATGTGGCTGCTATCAGGATCACATGTCACATGTCATCTGCAACTTACATCCAACTCAGGCCTGCTGCAAAGAAAATCCATCTGCTACACCTCAACAAACCGTAAGTACTTTACTTTTTTTAATAAGAATAAAACATATGAGGTGCACTCATCACCTCATAGTTGCTGACAATGAATGCAACAACTGCCATTTCAGTCTGGTTGCATGTGGTCTCACCTCTCCCCTCATTTCCTGTCATTTCTCTACTATTATCAGCTCTCTAATAAAGGCACACAATACTTCACCTCTTGGATCGTGTTTGCATCCAACACTTCACAACAGTGACATCCTGAGAAAGATGATGTCATGGAAAGTCGTGTTGATCTGGCAGCAATGTTTTAACTCTGAACATGTGAATTTAAAGCTGTTATATTTCACCAAACAAGCCTTTGTAAGTCTTTAATTTTGGCGTCCAAGTCGTCGTCAGAGCGCTGCAAAGCAACCGCTGATCGACCTTTTCGCGCGGCCACTACTGGAAGTGGTTACTGAGGTGTGGCCTTTTGGTTCTGCAACAATACAACAACAGCTTTGTGGTTTCTGTATAAAAACAAGATATAGTAGGATTCAAGTGTTAGTCCCTTAATCAATTGTGTATCATGACGGAAAAATGACCGCAAACTTTAGGTGCAAGAGATCTTGATTTTGGGCCTTATGAATTTTCTTTTTTATTTTATTTTTTAGTATAAATGGAACCATTTCCTTGGACCGGCTTCAGGAACTCTCCTCCTCCCCTGATGGGAGTTGTACAGGTTGCATTAGCACAGACTCACAGCCTGCTGGTTGAAGAGTCCTGTTGTGGGGGAAGCCAGGACTGGTGCCAGGTCTGGAGGGGTGCACAGGCCCAGCCATGCTCAGCACGTCCCAAACAACCGGTGCACGAACCAGAGCCATCTGCTGTCCATTTCACTTACATTCTCACTTGATGCTCTGCCAGCGGCTCGCTTTTTTCACCCCTGGAACGAGACTAATCCTCCCGTCCTCACATGAGCCACCAAAGCTTCGGGTTCAGCTGGCCGGACACCGTGGTTACCCTTCTGATTTTTGCCTGAGAAAACAAAGAGCTATACTTCCCCGAAAAGTATTTCAAAGCAGTATCATTTATCACAAACCCTCTTCCGAGGTCCATCATCTACTTACTGTAATGACCAGATTTGCCTCTCTACTCTTCATGAGTGTATCTGAGTAATTCCCATCAACTAAATAACCATTAAGCACTCAGCAGTTCAGCCTCAACTGTTGAAGTACATAAATGGCTCATGACCTGAACATCATATGCATCATCTTCAAGACTGGAGCATCACTGTTTGAGTAATTTCCACCAACTAAATAACCATTAAGCACTCAGCGTCCTGGGCTCCTCAACCGTTAAAGCACACTGGGACATTAGAGAAGAAGAGATTGATCAGAGACGTTATGAGTCATACAGAGAAAATAACAAACCTGCTGCAGGAGTTTTTTTCATCATTTTAAACTATTTATCCTGTAAAGATGATAATTTATTAATTTTTTACTCTCAGTATGCTTTGCAGTTGCATTAAACTTTCTATTCTATGCTGCATTTCAATCATGTGAATGTATTTAATGAGCTTTCAGAAGTTTCCTGGCAGTTGTGGAAATTATAAGAAGCGGTATTTCAATATGAGTCACCTTATGCTATAAACACACATCAGAGTGCTCGTAGAAAACGACGATTCATCAAGAATCACAACTCTGTGTGAAATCTCCATTTTTCTTTTTGGGTAATGTCATACTGTTGAATGATGCATTTGAAAAGCATTAAACATAATGGCACTTTAGAAGGTTGTCAGACAACAAGTCATAAACATTCATGAGATGATTATGATTTATTATGGATGTATAATGTTTTATAGGGGCTGATAAAATGCATCAGCAACCATTATGTGCTTTTAAAAACAAGGTCAGGATGTTTTGTCAATGAATTTAAGTTGTGAGTGTCCTTACATGCATTATAGATACATTTAAAATACAGTAGTCTTATGAAGGCGTTGAAAGTGAACAAAGGTGTTGTGAGCGTGCAGCTGCTTTCTGTGGTCAGCACCTCCTCATCAGAGTTGGTGCAAATACAGCACTTGTTTGTCTGCAGAAAGTACAATCAGTCAATCAATCGATCTAACCCACTTAAACCAAATCTTAGAAACTTATACAAATTATCAGGCAGTAGATGATAAAAGGGCAATAAAATCAATAAGAATATTCACCTGTTCATAAAAGAAAACAAAAAAAAAACATGAAAACCAAAGCAGAAAGCAACTTTTCTTTTACTTTTTACTTCAATACATTTTCTACTAGTTGCTTTGCAGGTAAAAGTTTTACTGACAAAAGGTCAAGCAACCCAACAGTGCATACAGTTGTATCAAGTAGTATTAATACAATAATATCATATATAAAATAATATTGCACTTACTTTTGAGACTGAGAGATGTACATTTGGCTGATAATACTGTATAAAACTTAATAAGCAAGTGCAGAGCTAAAAAGGTAGATTTCAAAGGAATACTGAACATTTGATAAAAAGATCAATACCACTTTTACATCTGTTCATAACATATGAAGTTACAGTGAGTAGACTGTTAGCTTAGCTTAGCATAAAGACTGTAAGCAGGGAGAAATAGCCAACCTGGCTCTGGCAAGAACTTGTTTCTAACACTTTTTGTGCATATTAAACAAACATATAACATGTTAATCAGAGAGCTTCAGGCACTGGTAGGTGGATTTTGTTACCTTTGGACAGAGCCAGGTTAGCTGTTTCCAGTCTTTATGCTAAGCTAAGATAACAAGCTGTTGGCTTCATATTTTCTTGAACAAACATGTGAGTGGTATCGATCTCCTCATCTGACTCTTGGTAAGAAAATGTATTATTTTAAGTACATTTGGATCATAATATCTCAGGACAAAAAAACCTTTGGAGGTAAAGCCAGGCTAAAAATGTAAGGCTGTTCCAACACATTGAAGCATAAAAAAGCTGCTTCACCAAGAAAATAAAAATTATTTAAAAGTAAAGAATCAATGTGAAAGATTTAGTGGCCCCTAGTGGTGTAGTTGCAGACTGCGACTCCCTTGCTTCTTCCTCCCCTTTCAAAGTGTAAAGGAGAACGACCCTATCTAGACCCAGTATTTGGTTTGTCCTGTAGAAACATGGCGACCTCCACGGAAGGCGACCTGTGGCTCATTCTAAAGTAACAAAAACACAACAATTCTTATATTCAGGTGATTATACACAAATTAAATCATACCTATGAACATTATATTCCATTTCTGCCATTAGATCCTGCTAAAAAGTTACACACTGGACCAATCTTTTTCCTTTATTCCTATTTGTTTTCCAGACAAGGCCAGTGAAATAAGAGGCCTTTCCAACCAGACTCTCTGTCCTGTCTCTGTGGCGCAGACCACACGTGCCTTTTTCAAACGTGAGTGGTATTAGATTGTTCTTCAAGATACAGTATGTAATCCCAGAGAGAGGTGCGTGCTGATGGTACTGATACATCTACTTTCTTGATTTCTCTTTGTACACGAATGCCAGCAGTGTCACAGGCCAATACTGGTATGTGACTCAGATTGATAGTGGCATATCAATCAAGTTTCGTGTCAGTGTGGAATCTGTTCAAGGGCCCTTGCGTGTGTGTTGGTGAGTGTGTGTGGGAAGGCTGCAGGGTTTGGTGATAATTCAGCCGTAAATGAATAACAGCAGGAAGAGATGATCAGTGATTTTCCTCCTCTGAAGAAAGTGATGATAAGGCTCCACGGAGTTAAGTAGGTTACCACACAGCCTTTCACATCCAGGTTTGCTGGTGCTTTACTGCACACACATTATTGCTGGCTGATCACCAACCTTTTTTTTTCCGTACTGAATTTCCGCATGTGTGTCCGTTGAGAAAATGATAAAGAGAAAGCCAGCAAGGTGAAAGGGATGCCAGTTGGACATCTGTGAAATCTATACGTACCTTGTCTGTGAAATGTTAACAATTCATTGTCAGTAAAATGCATTAGCTTGCAGACAGTAGGGCACACCCGGAAAAGACTGAAGGTTTCCAGACTCCTTCTCCAAACTCCTCTCCATCTCCTACCTTCAGGGAATAACCACTTCAGGTAATTTAATTAGCTGAAAAAATGACCACCAGCTCCACGTTCATGTGATTACACCGGGTTTTAAGAGATAAACTTGACTCTGTGTCAAGTGTTTGCCCTCCAAATCAAATGTTGCGTGTAATTTTTTGATAATAGACTGAACTGTGTTTTACCTTCCGGAGATAAAATCTTCTTACAGTCAAAAACAAGTCAGGGAGCAAGACTGGAAATAATAAGAGTTTTAATCTCTCGCTTTGAGGATGCCGACAAAACCTCCCCCATTTATATGTGCGGTTAAGAAGCTGATTTCTGTTATTTGTAATTTAAATACTAATTTGCTTTCTTTCATCTGCTTCTAAATTTGTCTTATTAAACAAAATAACTCAATAACAAAATAAAAGAAACTCAACAAGGAACCATGATATGATACTTGGCTTGATTAAGTCTTGGATGCCTATTTTCTAAAAAAAAAAAACCCTTTGAAGACTTTCAACTGGAGGTTAAGGTGAGAGGTGCATGAAATAACTACCTTTTAAGGGATTAAACATCTGAATTTCATTGTGAACAAACAAAAGGTAGGCCCTAAATGTAGCTGATGCTCTTTCCTCTGCTATTGATTCTGGTGTCTAACTCCTGAATTTAAGGTCTATTTAAGGGCCTTAGCCTCTTACCATGCAAAGAAAGACCCGACTGAGGCTTTAAATTCAGCACCATAAAGGAGATGTGTGGATAAAAAGGCACTGGAGGCTGTTTAAGGCATGTTTGTGTAGTACAGGCCCTGCTGCTGTTGTGTGTGTGAGAATGTGTGTAGTAGTAGAGAGCAAAAGAGGATGACACAAGTATTTTTCTTTGTTGTAAAACCCACTTTCACAGGATACAAAAAGTCTCACTACCGGTGCCAGTTTCATAACTATGATTCAAAAAGCCGTTACAAACCACACACAATCAAAATGTGATTTTGAGTTTCTTTTTGGTCAGGTCATTTAATTCACTGTCATCCTATACTGTGGCTTTGGTGACTCAACACTAAAGTTGATCAACTTCAACAGGAAATAAAAGATGGCACATAGACTGTCCTGAAATGCTGTGCAATGCTGAGTCCCTGCAAAATGTCTTTACTTTTCTCACCTACATTTGCAGTTTTCTTAGCAGGGTGACAAATTGTGCTCAGCAAATAATTCTGACTGGAGAAAAAACACACAGTCTCAAAGTGAATTAGAGGAGCATTATGCCATAAAACAATACCCAGAAGTGAGTGATTTCCCAAACTGCAGGGCATGAGCAGCAGCGAGCTGTCTCGCAGACAGGCCGTCTCTGAGTGCCCCAGCAGGGACAGGATGGTATGAATGATGCATGGCTTTACCACTTCCCAAAGCGCTGTGCTATATGAGGTGGCTGAGTAACTGAACAGACACATAGTGCATGTGAAACAGAATCAGAGAGCAGATACTGAAATGTGCACCTACTCTGATACTGTGCACAGAAGCACAGGTATAGTTTCAGAAAACAAAAGGGAGAAGCGGTTTTACACACAGCTACGTGCATGTGTGTGTACACATCCATAAGGTGGGGGTATGAGTGGCAGTACGCACAAAGACACATGCACAGACGTCAGTGTCAGCTGTATGGGTGTGTACCAAACCATAAGCTTAACCACAGAATACACACTTTAAATACCCTTTTATGCCTGCCATACAGTCAGTCCAACTTTATTTCACTCAATGACACCATCATGGGATGCTCAGGGCTGCTGATTTTGGGTCTTGTCCTAAATGTTGCTCACTGCTTGGAAAGTCTGGGTAAGTCTGCAGGGTTACAATCCGTCTGTGACTGTCAGCTGTTTATGGGCTTATTTTACTGGCCCTTAAGGTCTTGTTTAACCTGTGGCATTCACACTAAACAGGGCTGCTATGGTTTTCCTAAGTGATTAGTCCAATTATAAATGCACACAGGCAATAAAACCACATGCTGGATGCATATTGAATGCACTAAATAATAACTATTTCTGCAGTATATTGCTGATGACATGTTGGTATTGTCACTCTGGCAGTTCATTGTTATTGATCAGTGGTGCCACCTAAAACCACATTAGATTCTTTACAGCCTTTTAAAGTTAATATATGAGGGTCGTTAAGGGTTTTTTTCTTGTGTAAGGGGAAAACCCTCTGCAGGCTACACTTATTGACAGATCCTACTGCATAGTTTTCAGTTTGAAGTCTTTGTGCCTGCAGAGTAACTGAGACTCCCAGCTGGAGATGAAAGTTGAACTTGTGAAAAAGCTTTGTTTTTAAGAGTCGAAAGTCTTATTTGTTTACCACATCCCCAGCCTGCAAAGGAAAGAGTTGCTGTGTATACCACGGGTGAATGGTTGCTGTTTGGTGAGAAATAGAAGCCTGTGGGGCTCAGGAAATATGATGCAGTGCATGAATACCTGATTTCTTTCTCAGTTATTACTGAGTTTG